GTCAACATTTTCTAATGTTCCACCATTAAGCTGTATTTGTGGCATTGGAGAGGGGATGACTGGTGTCTGTTGGAACAGCACTTTGGTTCTCTCGATGTTCAGTGACAGGCTGAGCTTCTCATATGCTTCTGCAAAGGTGTTTAGAGTGGCTTGTAGATCTTCTTCTGAATGCGCACAGTTGACATTGTAATCAGCATACTGGAGTTCTATAACCTTGGTTTTGGCTTTCAGTCTGCTGAGGTTGAATAGCTTGCCATCTGTCCAATAGATGATTTCCACTCCGGTGGGAAGCTTCCCATCAACAAGGTGAAGTATCATAGCGATGAAGATGGAGAATAGAGTTGGGGCAATAACACATCCCTGTTTGACACCGATTCCACCTTAAATGTGTCACTTTGGGAGCCATTGCTGTCCAAGACTGTTGCCATCATGTCATCATGGAGGAGCCGCAGGATGTTCACAAATTTGTTTGAGCACCCGATTTTTTGGAGGATGGTCCAGAGAGTGCTGCGATTCACGGTGTCGAATGCCTTTGCAAGGTTGATGAATGCCATGTACAATGTTGACTATGTAGATAGTATGCCAAGTTTGGTGCAGATCCTTTGTGGGCTGGGTTCAGAGTGCTCTTTGATTGTAGGTGGACTATACATCCCAGAAACTACAGTTCTCACATGCTAAGGTCTATTTTCCCCAAACTCCACCAGTGTTCACAATTGGGCATATTGAATATCCCTGCCAAGTTTGGTCCATATCTATCGTTTGAGCCCACAGTGCTCTCTGGATGTAGGTGAACTACAATTCCCATACTCAAGGTCAATACCCACCAAACCCTTCCAGTATTTTCTGTTGGTCATGGGAGTTCTGTGTGCAAAGTTTGTCTCAATTCCATCCCTGGTGGGGTACAGAATGCTCTTTGATGGTAGGTGAACTAAAAATCCCAGTAACTACAACTCCCAAATGTCAAGGTCAATTTTCCCCAAACTCCACCAGTGTTCACATTTGGGCATATTGAGCATTCGTGCCAAGTTTGGTCCAGATCCATCATTGTTTGTGTCTGCAGAGCTCTCTGGATGTAGGTAAACTACAACTCCAAAACTCAAGGTCAATGCCCATCAAACCCTTCCAGTATTTTCTGTTGGTCATGGGAGTTCTGTGGCCAAGTTTGGTCTAACTCCATTGTTGGTGGAGTTCAGAATGTTCTTTGAAGGTAAAGGTTTTCCCCTGACATTAAGTCCAGTCGTGCCCAACTCGGTGCTCATCTCCATTTCTAAGCCGAAAAGCCGGCGTTGTCCATAAACACCTCCAAGGTCATGTGGCAGCATGACTGCATGCAGTGTTGTTCCCTTCCTGCCGGAGCAGTACCTTATGACTGACTCACATTTGCATGTTTTCGAACTGCTAGGTTGGCAGAAGCGGGGGCTAACAGTGGGAGCTAACCCTACTTCCTGGATTTGAACCTGTGACCTTTCGGTCTACAAGTTTAGTATCTCAGTGCTTTAACCCACTGCACCACCAAGCAATATTTGATGCTCTATTCCACTTTGGTTAAACCACACCTGGAATATTGTGTCCAATTTTGGGCACCACAATTCAAGAGAGATATTGACAAGCTGGAATGTGTCCAGAGAAAGAGGGCGACTCAAATGATCAAGGGTCTGGAGAACAAGCCCTATGAGGAGCGGCTTAAGGAGCTGGGCATGTTTAGCCTGAAGAAGAGAAGGCTGAGAGGAGACATGATGATAGCCATGTATAAATATGTGAGAGGAAGCCACAGGGGGGAGGGAGCAAGCTTGTTTTCTGCTTCCCTGGAGACTAGGATGCAATGGAACAATGGCTTCAAACTACCAAGAGAGGAGATTCCATCTGAACACGAGGAAGAACTTCCTGACTGTGAGAGCCGTTCAGCAGTGGAACTCTCTGCCCCGGAGTGTGGTGGAGGCTCCTTCTTTAGAAGCTTTGAAACAGAGGCTGGATGGGCATCTGTCGGGGGTGATTTGAATGCAATATTCTTGCTTCTTGGCAGAATGGGGTTGGACTGGATGATGGCCCAGGAGGTCTCTTCCAACTCTAGGATTCTATGATTCTAGGATTCTATGCTTTAAATAATAATAATAATAAATAGAGTAAAATAATAAATGTAATAATAATATGGTAAAATACTGTAATAATAATAATAATAATAATAATACATTAAGTAAAATAATAAATGTAATAAAAATAATACTAATAACACTGTTCAATGGAGAAAAAGTTGCGGGCCTGAAAATAGTTGTTCTTTTATGATTTTGGGGTGCTGAAAACGAAAATGACATTTAAAAATGTATATTGGCTCTAGTTTTTATGATATAAGCAATCACGTGATCACGTATGGTGAAAAAATGCATGTTGCGACTTACACTATGGAAGATTCTAGAATATTCTAGAAAGTTTGATAATGCAGTATTAGTGCCGTGTGCAAAAGCCAGAAAGCCCTCTATAAGGCCAGACTTTTGAGCGGTGAGGGTCAGTCAGTTGAAGACTGAGACAGTATCGTTAAACATCATTTGACATTGTTCTTTTGACTGTCGTTATGCCTCGCACGTGTGTCAATAAAGCACGATGGAAAAAAGATCTCAAGGCCAATGGACTCCGTCAATGCTGTCAGACTCCTGCTGGAGCATTGGAAGAGATGCCAATCCTTTCCTTGAATACAAAAGAAAAGTCAAGAGAAGCAAACAGGATATAAACTAAAGTCACGATTAAAGCGACATTTAAACTTTCAGACTTTTCAACTGCATTCGGCCTATTAATATAGTTTCTTGCTGCACACACATAAATAATAGACTAATTCAATAAATATTTCTCATGTATAAACTACTGGCAATATAGTTTGACTAAAATTTAGTAAATATTCACAGTTTATATACACGCAGTAAGGTTAAGCGCATTATCATAATATTAACGAATTACCTATTGTGGAGAAAATTGAAATAGCTGTTGCATAAAAACCAGAGCCAATTAACACATTTAATTATTGTATTTGAATTCAGCGTGTTAAATTTATTAAGAAACGGCACATTTCGTTTCCGCAACTGAGAAAAACTGAAAATTTGTAGAACAGTGTAACAGAGTAAAATCTATGCATATAATAAAAGTCAAAGTTTGTATGCGGCGGTGCGACCGGGTATGTGCCAGCTTTCTGATTGGCTGCTACTGTGGTGCTATTTGCATATGGTCTCTGATTGGCCAGCTGCAAGAGGAGCCCCTGGTGGAGAAAAGGGTTCATGACAGAAACGGAGACATGAGAGAAGGAAATTTGCATATGGTCTCTGATTGGCCAGCCACAATTTCAAGATTCCAAGATGACAAAGAGAGGAAAGGAAAAGGCCAGAGGGGGCTGGGTCAGAAAATTACCAATACAGACCAAACTTGGCACACAGAGCCCCACTGACCCACTCGACATCCTACTGCAGTTTGGAGAAGGATGAACCATGGATGATGGGACTTGCAGTACCATCACTCACATTCTGCGACCGCTGTTAACCTCATCCAATGGCTGATCACGACCAAACTTGGCACATAGACCTCTCATGACCCACTTTACGTCCTGGTGTGGTTTGGCCGGGGATGGACCATGGATTATGGGACTTGCAGTACCTTTGCTCAATTCTTGAGACCACTGCAACCCTCATCCAATTACCGATAAAGACCAAACTTGGCACACTGAGTCTCCTGATGCACTCTACATCCTGGTGCAGTTTGGAGGAGGATGCACCATGGACGATGGGACTTGCAATACCTGCACTCACTTATTTATTTATTTATTTATTTATTTGATGCATTTATTAACCGCCATTCTCAGCCCTTTAGGGCGACTCATGGCGGTGTACACACATATAAAAGACAATTTACAAAAGGCAATTACACAACCTATAAACTACATAACAATTACAAAAACTACACTAAAAGTCCGCTTCGTCTCATAGTGGAATCATAACCAATCTCATATTCCTTATTCCATTCCAATCATCTTTACCACATTATTATAGCACTTAATTAAATGCCCTCTCGAACAGCCAGGTCTTGAGGCTTTTTCGGAAGGACATGAGGGAAGGCGCCTGTCTGATGTCTGCAGGGAGAGTGTTCCACAGCCGGGGGGCCACCACCGAGAAGGCCCTCTCCCTCGTCCCCGCCAGTCGTGCCTGTGAGGCAGGCGGGATCGAGAGAAGGGCCTCCCCAGACGATCTCAAGGTCCTCGTGGGCTCATAGGCCAAGATGCGGTCCGAAAGGTATTTTGGGCCGGAACCGTTTAGGGCTTTGTAGGCCAAAACCAGCACCTTAAATTGGGTCCGGTAGCAAATCGGCAGCCAATGGAGCTGGGACAACAAGGGCGTTGTACGCTCCCTGCCCCCCACTCCAGTTAGTAACATGGCTGTCCAATACAACTGCCAACAATGATGGATCAGGACCACAATTTACATAGAGAGCCCACATGACCCACTCTACATCCTGGTGCGGTTTGGAAGAATTTGACAATGGATGATGGGACTTGCAGTCACTTCACTCACTTCCTGACACCACTGAGACCCTCGTCAATTACTGATCAAGACCAAACTTGGCACACAGAGTCCCCATGACCCACTCTACATCCTGGTGCACTTTCGAGGAGGACAGACCATGGATGATGGGACTCGCAGTACCTTCACTAACTTCCTGAGACCACTGCGAGACATATAAATAACTGATAAAGACCAACCTTGATACACAATTCCTTTCTCAAATAACCCGGGCAGCGCCGGGTCCCCAAGCTAGTAATAAATAAGCTTGACTCGAGGGGAGCTTTTTTAGCCTAAAAAGGGGGCTCAAAAACTAGGCTTATACTCGAGTATATACAATATATGCATATATTACTTGGAAGCATATATTATTACTTGGCTAATGAATTTCTGAAGTCCTCTTCTTCCCCATTTCTGTTCTTCCTGCATAAGAAATTCTCTTTTTCTTCTTCTTTTATTTTGCAGCCTGAAGAATCAGTAGAGGACGAATGCCCGGAAGTGGGACCGGACTCCGGCTCTTTCTTCCAGAAAGAAGGATTCTTTGCCTGGGACTTGGGATGCTTTCTTGGACAATGAGCACTTCCGACGTGGCACCATTAATGTATAGCTAACCTTTGCTTTGGACAATGAATGGAGTTTACTTTTATTTTTCTTTCGTGGTGTGTAACACGATTCAGGTGGATTTTTTTACCCTTCGGAGATAGAGTCTATATATTCGACATGAGATCCAGAGTATCTTTAACAGACAAACAAACAAACATGTAAGATATATCAGCCGTCTTTGGAGACCATTGGAATACAATATTTTTCTTTCTTTCTTCTCATTTTTTTTTCATATTTATTCTTAGATTTCTTCAGAGAGTATATGATCCTATTAAATTATCCATGATTGTGATGTAAGTAAACAGTCTTAAGCAAGAAATAAACATGATATCTTCACCATAAGCACGGCATCGTTTTCGTCATCTGAATTGCATGGCTTTAGCTCAGCGTTTCTCAACCTGGGGGTCGGGACCCCTGAGTTAAGTAAAAAAGAGGCACTGAAATGGGACATTGTGAATCATCCCGTTGATATTAAATTTATAAGAAGTGGATGAGTTAATACCCCGTTCCATATTAAACAGCCTCTAAGAAGCTGGCGCTTTTAGGGAGGGGGTGAAATTAGAAGGCTTTTGAGAACACCTGGCACTAATAAGCCAAATGACTTTGTAGTTATTAACTAATAATACACTTCTATCACTCTACTCACTGCTATTGGAATCTATCAAAAGCCACAGAAGTATAAATACTAGGCAAAGAGGGTTTGTGGGGGAGGACTCGGGCCCGAAGTGGGGAATTAAATATATGACTCTTACGGTATATTTATTAGGGCTGGGTAACCACGGAAAAGTTTGTTTCTAAACTCGATTCGTTTCCAGGGGGCGCTAGCGTTTCCAAATTCTAAATACTTCCGAAATTTTGAGATTTCAAAATTTCGTTATTTACGAAATTTCGTAAATTTCGAATCGATTCGTTAATGGCGGACGCGATTGCGCAATATGCTAAAAAAACCTCCAAATGGGACAGGGGGAACTTCTGAAGCTTCCCTCTCCCTCTGTTGTTGACTGTTGGTGTGACAAAACAAACAACTATATTATATTATATTATATATATTATATTATATATTATTATATTATATTATTATAATATTATTATTATATTATATTATAAATTTAAATTTTTATGTTTATATATAGATCTATAAGCCCGACTGCTCACTGGAGGGAAGGATACTAGAGACAAAGTTGAAGTACTTTGGCCACATCATGAGGAGACAGGAAAGCCTAGAGAAGACAATGATGCTGGGGAAAGTGGAAGGTAAAAGGAAGAGGGGCCGACCAAGGGCAAGATGGATGGATGGCATCCTTGAAGTGACTGGACTGACCTTGAAGGAGCTGGGGGTGGTGACGGCCGACAGGGAGCTCTGGCGTGCGCTGGTCCATGAGGTCACGAAGAGTCGGAGACGACTGAACGAATGAACAACATATATTATATTATATTATTGTATATTATATTATTGTATATTATATTATTATAATATATTATATTATATATATTATATTATATATTATTATATTATATTATAATATTATTATATTATATTATTGTATATTATATTATTATAATATATTGTATTATATATTATATATTATTATATTACGAAAATAATTACGAAATAATTATGAAAATTGGAAAAATTGTTTCGATTCTTAATTACTCCTCACACTATTCCAAAATGGCTCAATATCGGATCGTAAGCTAATTTAAATACGAATTAATAACGAATTACGAAATTAACGAACGAAACCACCCAGCCCTAATATTTATTTCTCAAGCTCCTGTTGCCAACATTAATCACCAAGGAAGAAAAAATGTGATAGTTCAATGTATTGTCGAAGCCTTCCATGGCCGGAATCACTGGGTTGTTGTAGGTTTTTTCGGGCTATATGGCCATGGTCTAGAGGCATTTCTCCTGACGTTTCACCTGCATCTATGGCAAGCATCCTCAGAGGTAGTGAGGTCTGTTGGAACTAGGAAAAAGGGTTTATATATCTGTGGAATGACCAGGGTGGGACAAAGGACTCTTGTCTGCTGGAGCTAGGTGTGAATGTTTCAACTGACCACCTTGATTCGCATATAATGGCTTGACAGTGCCTGGAGCAATCTTTTGTTGAGAGGTGATTAAATGTCCTTGTTTGTTTCCTCTCTGTTGTTGTGCTGTTGTAATTTTAGAGTTTTTTTTAATACTGGTAGCCAGATTTTGTTCATTTTCATGGCTTCCTCCTTTCTGATGAAATTGTCCACATGCTTCTTGTGGATTTCAATGGCTTCTCTGTGTAGTCTGACATGGTGGTTGTTGGTGTGGTCCAGCATTTCTGTGTTCTCAAATAACATGCTGTGTCCAGGCTGGTTCATCAGGTGCTCTGCTATGGCTGATTTCTCTGGTTGAAGGAGTCTGCAGTGCCTTTCATGTTCCTTGATGCGTGTCTGGGCAATGCTGCTGCGTTTGGTGGTCCCTCTGTAGACTTGTCCACAGCTGCATGGTATGCGGTAGACTCCTGCAGAGGTGAGAGGATCCCTCTTGTCCTTTGCTGAATGGAGCATTTCTTGGTGGGTCTGTAGATGGTTTGTATGTTGTGTTTCCTCATCAGCTTCCCTCTGCGGTCAGTGGTTCCCTTGATGTCTGGCAGGAACACTTTTCCTCTGGGTGGATCTTCGTCTTGACTCTCGTGGCTTCTTCTCGGTGGTCTTGCAGCTCTCCTGATGTCTGAGGTGGAGTCTCCATTGGCCTGGAGAGCCCAGTTGAGGTGGTTCAGTTCATCTTGGAGGAGGTGGGCTTCGCAGATTCTTTTTGCACGGTCTGCCAAGGCTTTAATGGTGCTTCTTTTTTGACTTGGGTGATGGTTGGAGTTTTTCTGTAGATATCTATCTCTGTGTGTAGGTTTTCTGTAAACAGTGTGACCCAATTGTTGATCTGGCTTGCCTCTAGACCATAGCCATATAGCCTGAAAAAACCTACAACAACCCAGTGTGATAGTTGTTGACCCATATTTCCCAAAGGGCGCTCACAAGTGTACTCCAAAAGACAGCCAGTAGGCCTGTTTGATCAAGAAAAAAATTGTTTCTAAAATCGATTTGTAATTGGGGTGTTTTTTTGTTTCGATATTTAAAATAATTACAAAACTTTCCAAAAAAAAGTTTTGGTATTTAAGAAATTTTGTAAATATTAACGAATTTTTAGAATATTTTTGGTATTTCTTAAGAATAATATTAAAATAATATTAAAAAATATTTTAAAATGGAAAATTAACCAAAAAATGGCCCAAATGTGGACCAAACACAGGCAGGAGACAGCAAATGGGAGCACATACCAACAGAAGAGTCTTTTATTTTTTAGAATATTTTTTAAAAATAATATTAAAATAATATTAAAAATAATATTAAAATAATATTAAAAAATATTTTAAAATGGAAAATTAACCAAAAAATGACCAAACACAGGCAGGATACAGCAAATGAGAGCACACACCAACAGAAGAGTCTTAATATTAAAAAATAATATTAAAAAATAATATTAAAAATAATATTAAAAAATAATATTAAAAATATTTTAAAATGGACAATTAACCAAAAAATGGCCCAAATGTGGACCAAACACAGGCAAGAGACAGCAAATGAAGCAAGCAGCACTCACAGCAGCAAGGAATGAATCCAATCCCAGTTCGTTGCTAGCAGGCAGCCATTGCCAAGCCAACCCAATGCAAACTCCCTCGCCCTCGCCTCTGCAGCAAGCTACGGGCCGCGCGGAGCCGCTTTGAAAGGGCTCGCCGGCCAATCAAAAAGAGACAGCCACGGACCCATGGTGCACTGCTTGGGAGCGCCGGATTGGCTCCCATGCACCAGCACTCCAGCAGCCTCCACCCCATTAACGAAACGAGCGGAGGCTCGTAAATACTATGGGGGCTGCTGGTTCGATATTTATAAACCCTTCCGGGTTTGGAGATTTGTTTCAATATCGCTTCGGAAATGGTAAAATTAACGAATTATTAACGAATTAACGAATTAACAAACCAAATCGCACAGGCCTAACAGCCAGTAATTTAAATGAGCATTTTAGGGTGTATCTACACCAGTGGTTCCCAACCTCTGGACCCTGGCCCACGGGTGGGCCACAAGACCTAACATAAAGTCTGCAAGAGGGAAAGAAGGAAGGAAGGAAATGCCAGCGCTTTCTCTGCCTCGAGGGGGTTTCAGAGGGGTCACCAGAGACCACCAGAAAACATATATTTCTGGTGGGCTTAGGAACCCCTTTTGTAGAGAAGGCTGAAGATCTCTCCGCCTGGCCTTCCCTTCCTTTTTGGAAACAGACGGCGAATCCTTCCACCAAAAGTCCTCCTCCGCTGTGATTGGCCTGCATTTCAGCCCGGGGTGGGGTGGGGGGAAGGGTGCAGGTGACTGTTGCAACTCAGAGTCAGCTTCACCTTGCTGCCAAACACCACCACATAAGAGCTGTAGTTTTATAAGACCTCACACCTCTGAGGATGCTTGCCATAGATGCAGGCGAAACGTCAGGAGAAATGCCTCTAGAACATGGCTCTATAGCCCGAAAAAACCCACAAGAACCTAGTGATTCCAGCCATGAAAGCCTTCGACAATACATTGTAGTTTTATAGTTTATTGAGGAGAAAATCCAAGTCAAAATAAAGAATAAGCATTGCAAAATTCCAAAGATTAAGGTTAAAAGCAGAACACAGTTCCAAAGATCTTCAGGTAAAAACAGGAGACATAATCCTATTGGCAAAGTTCAAACCAGAGTCCCAGGTACAAGCCATGAAACAATTGCCCCAAGAATCACAATGCAAGAAATCCCAAGCATACTGCTTTCCAGGCTAAGGTTATTCCATGAATCTTTCAGGCTACTAAGCTACGCTGAACCGACGCTTTTACGGAGTTTGCAAGAGGCCTGAATACCTTTCTAACATGAAACATTAGGCTCTCATCATCATAAAAGCATTGCGACAACCTTTCACCGAGCTGGCTTCTCGTCTGTTGGCCAGATGAGAACTCCACCTGACCCAGAGATCAAGGCGAGCTTGCCGGGTCAAGTCACTATCTACACTTTCGGTATAGCATGGGAAGGCACCTGCTCGCTATCTCCTTCGTTAAAATTCCTTTCTGCTGGGAATGGCTGTGTTGACACTGCACTGTCTGTGGGAGCCTCAGAAGCAGGCTCAGAGATTTGAGGCACAGACAAAGAGCCAGGAAGCTGAATCCCAGCAGGAATCTGAATCCCTTCATCCTCATCATCAGAAAATAGCTCAGCCACAACACTGACTGAGAGCAGGCGAGGCTGGAGGGAGGCTCATGCCAGCGAGTCCCTTCAAGCCATGGAAGTTCTGTGTAAG